GGAGGTTGCGATGCTGATGGTGGATAAGACGACAGAATTTCTGCAGTGCATTTACCCAGAGCATTTATGCTATTTTTCAGAAATCTCATACTCATTCTCTTTGATGTACAGTTGGTAGTCTTGTGTATTCATTTTTCGTTTTTCTGTCTGTAGCTCCGAGGTGACAATGAACATTTAGGGCTTCTCTTGTAAACTCTATAACTTCGCAACGAAAGGTTGGGTAGAGCTGGGTGATGCCTCGTTTTAATCAGAAATTTATGGACTACAATTACGCCTCATTAAGAAAGCTTTTGGTCGTTGTTTAGTGTTTCTCGAAAACTGGTTTTCCAGAAGACCGGTCTTTGAAGACCTAGCAGCAGCATTCATGGTGATACTCGGAATCAGCATCGTCGACTACCTATAGTCCCCTCGGTTTCGTTGAAAAAGCGATTTATCAGTTGGGGTACTTCCCTCGTCAGTATCTGAGCTCCGTATATCTAAATATCTTAAGATCTCGATCTCTCAATATCTGAATATTTAATAATCTTTTGAAGGAAATTCATGTGTTTTTTCCAAAAGCATGATCGTGAAAATGGGATCATACTGCAACTGTTAGGGTTTTCCAGAGTTTTTTGAGCTTTCGAAGGGGTTTCAACGGGATTTCAAGATTCTCATGCTGGTATGTAAAATTTAGACGAGTTTTTACCTTAAAATCCCGAAAATTTGACTTTTACTTTAGAAATACTAATAAAACTTTCCGAAAATTTGAACATTTTTCACAGCGACCTCTCCAAAGGGGGTGTAAGCGTCAGGTGCCCTTGTACTAACAGCTCACAAAACAATCCCAATTCAGAATCTCTACAAATCAACAATTTATTACCAACTAATTACTAATACAAATAATTTTAACAGTAATGAAAGTCTGTTCTTCTTCAATTAATGAAGAACAGTAATAATTGAATGTTGATAATGGAATGTTGTTGAATAGTTGCTAATGTTGATGAAGAGAAGGAGTGAGGAAGAGAATATGCAAACGGAAATTATTGCGGTATAAGAAGCACAGTTAGAACGAAAATACTAAATTATATTTTGTAAATAAGAGAAATTATTTAACTTGAATGAGATAAGAAGATGTAATGTAGAATTGAGCTCCTCCTTCTCTGAATGTGAGAGAGGAAGAAGAGAAGAGATGTGAATTTGAATTTGAAAAGTGAGAAGAACCAGAGACAAATGTTAACTTGAAGTTAAAAGTTAACAAGAAGAGATCTGAATTTGAAGTTGAAAATTGACAAGAATCATATACTAGGATATGAGTTTCGATTAGTTCACGATGAAACGACATATCCGTAAGTCATCTCACATCACTAGAACATGCAGATATATATTTCATTGCTTTTTTCGGGTACCGGGCCTGTAGTTTTTCAGAAAATAGTTTTTTAAATTTACACTTTCACGTCGATTGAGGAGCTACATATCACTCCCGTGACTCAGAACATTACTTAAAAGTCTTTGTCTTGGACTTGGACATTACCTGAGTCATGGCAGGGTTGTGTGGCGCCCGAATGCATGTGAAAGTGGTAAGTGAGTTTCGCCATCAAGGGAGTCGATGTGTGACCCTGCAATGCATGTGAAACTGTTAAGTGAGATTGTGTGGCGCTGGAGTGCTGTGTGGTGCCTCAATCGACTTGAAAGTGTCAAGTGATGATCTGCCTCACGGCAGCGATGTGTGGTGTCACAGTCTATGTAAAAGTGTTCAGTGTGGTTCGGCGTCAAGAGAGTGGATGCGTGCCTTTGAGGTTGTTCTGAGTGTCTGCAGTAATGGCCGGAACGACAATTGATGTGAAATTGTTAAGTGAGGTTCTGAGTCACTGGAGTGATGGGTGGCACCAAAATCGACCTGAAAGCGTTAAGACAAAGTACCCACCACTCAACGCTTTAACATTAGATGTGGCTTTCACACTGACTGAGAGTTGTTGCATTGCAACAACTCTCACTGTTGACGACAGATGTGGTTGACACAATAGTATTAGAAGAAGAGGCAACAGGTGCTGCTGATACTGTTTCGATGGAAGATGGTACGTTCATTCGGTTATCTTTATTCTCTGTTTGTTTGTTATGATTCTGTTCAGATGATGATATACTTTTTATTGGAACGACTTGTCATACCTTTGGGAGAAACCAGCAGGAGAACAAGATCATGCTGAAGAAGGTTTGTTCGTATGCTTTAATACAACGTGTTCTTAAAGTTTTCCTGGATTAGATAATAATATAATATAACATCACTGCGACGTAAAATCTTTGATATTTGAATGAGGATGCCTCAGTTTTAATGGTTTATTCAGTGAGCGATTAGCAAACCTAATTAGAGCTATCAGTGCTATTATAAACAAAAAACTCGTCTCGTACTCTAGACCCCTTCCCCGAAAGAATACTAAGACTTCTTAAAGAACATGCATTTCTCAGCCACGAATTAAATTTATCTTTTTAATAAAATGACCACTTAATATGCTTTCTGACGTTAAGTTGATAATAGAAGAAAGATAATTTCCGTGTGCGTGTGCGTGGTAATGATTTGCTTATGCTACATGCTATCTTGAAGAACCGGTGATATTTTCGTTGAATGAGAATGCCTCAGTTTTTCCTGTGCGCGGTACACCATGGTAAACTCTCGGAAAATTTTGATTTTTTAATAGATCGATGTGCCCCGGTGTTTACTACCGTAAAATGGAAACCTACTAGCCTCCATCTCTTTCTGTTCAAAGGTTATTCAAAAACATTGAAGAACACTTTGAAATGGATAGTAATTCTATCTCAGTTTTAATGATCTTTTCAGTGAGCGATTAGCAAAGAATCTAATCAGGGCTATCAGTGCTATTATAAACAAAAAATTCGTACTGTAGATCCCTTGCCCGAAAGAATACTAAGAGTTCTTAAAGAACATGCATTTCTCAGCCGCTAAAAGACTCTAAGTGGACCTGATATACTTAGGGTGTTCAAAAAGTTCTGAGAACTCTAGTCTAATATGTTATGCTGATTGTTTCTAACCTCAATATGGGCCTCTTCTAGAAGCTACAACAGTTATGTACTGCACGACCACTGGAAACCTTTTGAACTCTCTACTATGTATAATTTCGAGTTACTTTTGTTTCGCCTACATTTCTAGATGGATAAACAGTGTATACGCTACTATATAAAAACTCGCTCGTTACTCGGCTTAAACGCTACTCAAATCCATGACGAATTGATCACTGCTTATGGTCAAGACTACGTATCGTATCCTACGGTTGCCCGCTGGCTTCATGCTTTTTCAAGTGGACGAGAGTCGCTTGAAGATGATCCACGGAGCGGTCGTCCAATAACCGCCGTCACTCAAGAAAATATTGACGCTGTTAAAGATCTAGTTAATGATGATCCACATATTAGTATTGATTATATTGCCGACATCTTGGATATATCCTGTGGCAGTGTGGATACAATATTGAAACAACATCTACGGTTAAGAAAAGTATTGTCAAGATGGGTGCCTCATGAGCTGACACAGGAACAACGGCAGCGACGTATGACTATCTGTGCTGAAAATTTGGAGAAGCTTGAAAGTGGCGTATGGCGTCTGTGTGATATAATAACCGGCGATGAGACGTGAGTTTACCATCGCAGAATTGAATCAAAACAACAATCGAAAGCATGGGTAGCAGAAGGAGAAAGTCCTCCAACTGTTGTTAGAAGACAACGATATGAAAAAAAACCAATGTTTGTTATCTTTTTTATGACAACTGGACCATTACTTATTCATCAGGTTCCTTCTGGAGTATCTATTGATGCTGCCTATTATCGTGATGAATGTCTGAAACAGTTGCTGAACAAGTTATTGAAAAAAAGACCATCATCAGACACAAACGGTATCAAGCTTCATCATGACAATGCAAGACCACACATAAAAGATATCGTTATTAATTATCTTCAAGAAAAAAAAATCAAACTTATGGCTCATCCACCATACTCGCCTGACCTTGCTCCATCAGACTGTCGATATCGGTTGGCGAATACAAAAAGACATATCAAAAGTGGATTGAGAGAATGACACTTTGTGTCGAGCATCACGGTGATTACTTTGAACATTTGTTGTAGAGAGATCGGATGTTTTTTCTATCAATAAACATTTTCAGTTCTCAGAACTTTTTGAACGCCCTAAGTATTTAGAACAGAAGCCTTTTCTTAGCTTTGTCTTTTCTTGCCATGGTCTTTCAATTGAGACGTATTTATTGTATGCTTTCTCGTAAAGGGGATGCCACAATAACCGATCCGGATCTTCTATTCTGTCCTTAAGAATAAAGATATTATGGGGATCTTCTATTGTGTTTCTAAAAGGAAGCTGTTTTTCAGGTTCATGCTTTGAGCAATTCTGAATTTTGTCTCAGTTATTACAGAGTATTACGAGCTAATGAGAGACAAATAGTTATGACAAAATGTGAGGATACTGGTCATAACGCGTTTTTTTTCTTGCATTGTCAAACGTAAATTTTGTCAACATATGATATGCGCAGAATGACCCTTTCTCGCTTCTCCATGCGCACATTTATATGTGCTCAGTGGAAGGAGAAACTATTTTCAACAGGAAATATTTATTATGAATTTTGCAAGACTTACAAGTAAAAGCTGAAGTATGTTTTATTTCAACTTTTACAAGATGAACTCAAGAGGGATCGTTTATTGTGGGAAGGCCGTGTAATGTGCCTACCTCTTTAGTTTGCCTATTACCCTGCAAAACTGAGACTGTGATAATACTATAGTTTTCTTAGATTAATAATTAAATTTAGAGATCATAACTAAGAAAGTATTTCCTTCTGAAAAGTAATGATAACGTAAGTTCGTTTGTTCATCGTGTTCTAATCAGATAATAGATCGTTTAGCATTTCAGCCATTGTTGGATGTGTGTAAATACTATCTCTTAAGACTGTATATTCTTGATTTGTAACCATAGCTAGACGGATAATATTAATAACTTCACTTGAATAAACACAATATAAAGCTGCACCTAATATTAAATTTGTCTGTGTATCAATAATAACTTTCAAAAGACCATCTAATTCTTCTAACTGATGTGCTCGTGGCACACTCATTGTTGGCTTTTTAAATATTTTTATTTTATAACCTGAACTTATGGCTTCTTTTTCTGTTAAACCAACACGTGATAATTCTGGATCCATATAAACTGTATATGGAACATATCTACGATTTGCTGTTGTTATTGGTTGTTGCTTCTTTGCAGTAGATCCATCAGTAAGTGTTAATTGATCCCTTATAATTCGATAATCATCCAATGATATGTAAGTATGTTGTGGGCCACCATTTACATCACCAAGAGCCCAAATATTTCTTGTTGTCGTTTCTAATTTTTCATTAACTTGTATATAATTTTTTGGCTTTGTTACTTTAACACCAGCATTTTCTAATCCTAAACTACATACATTTGGAGAACGTCCAACGGCAACTAGAATGGCATCTGCTTGTATTGTAATACTTTCCTTTTGACTATTTGTATACGTTACTTTAGCTCCTCCAGTACTACGACCACACACCGTCCTATTATCCTCAATACTTTGTGTTTTAGCATTCATTATAATATTTATACCTTTTTTTATAAATATATCATAAATAGCCTTTGATATATCTTCATCTTCACGTGATAAAAATGTATTACTTGCTTCAAACAACGTTACTTTACTACCAAAATCTGAAAATATTGATGCAAATTCTAATCCAATATAGCCAGCACCAATGATAACCAGTGTTTTGGGTAACTTTTTTAATTCCATTATTGTTTTACTAGTATAAATACATTTACTTTCTTTAATACCACAAATATTTGATGGAATTAAAGGTAGTGCACCAGTATTAATAAAGATCTTATCACCTTGTATTCGTTCTGTTACTCTACCATTTTCACTATCAATTTCAATTAAATTTTTGGATACAAATGATGCATGACCATTATAAATTTTTATATTCTTCTGTGTATTTAAATTATCATAATTTTTAGTGCGTAATTTTGCCGTTAATGCATCTTTTTTTCCAATTGATTCTTGAAAAAAACGATCTTGTTCCTCATATGTTTGAAATTTTTGTTGTTTTGATTTTTTAGCATAGTATTCAAGTGATTTTGATGGAATACAACCAATATTAATACAAGTACCTCCATACATCTGTTTTGATTCTTCAATCATTGCAACTTTTAGACCTTGCTTAGCGAAAAATGGTGCGAGCGTTTTACCACCTTTGCCAAACCCGATAATAATTGCATCGTACTTTTCCATTTTTTAGAATTATTTATAAGTGATTTGAGGAAGAATCTAGAAGAATATAGTACAATACTTTCTTATACTATCCGCATGAAAGTTCAAATTTTAAACAAGCTACGAGGTTTAAGAGTATATATTAGTGCAGGATGAATCACTGGTACATGATAAATTTTATTTTTTGGTAGGTAGTATGTGGCGCTGTAAGACAGTATTTCTGATGTGAGACCACGCCATTTGAACGTTAAAATCTAGACTTCAAAAAAATTCTTGAAATGCTTTATACAATAGTTAAGAAAACTTTTATCAGCCAGTAAGTGTGTACAAAAAAATAGGGTCTAATTCTTTCTTAGTGGAAGTTGTACGTCGCTAAAACAAATTTTCCACATGTCTAGATCACAACATACCTTTTTTCAAAGATTAATAATGTCTGTTCATACCCAGAAAGTAATTTAAGCAAAAGCACAAAAACATTTTTCGGTATATATGTATATGTATATATACTTTATATGATATATAACCTATTATCCTGACGTGTTTGGTAGTATTGACGAAAACAAAGCATGTCATTAAAAACAAATATAATATTTTATCCCTTTCGACATGCACCATGTATATACAATATGACTCAAAACAAATTTTATTTGATTGTCTCATAAAATATTTCTTTGAAAGTTGAAAAAGACATCTTCTAGATAAGGTGACGCTAAATACATAATGAAATTCAAACTTTACAAAAGAAAGTTTTCATCAAAGTCGACAAGGAAAGAAAGGAAAAACTCTTAGAAGAAAGTAAGAGAGACAGAAGGCGTAATTCACGTTTTTACCGCAGATTGTTAGTGTTTATTTGTTTAATTTCTTTAAAATTTACGAGATCTCTTGCGTACATCGTGTTCTGTCTATTTCTTGTCGTATTTCTCTACTATGTTTATAAGTATGAATATAATAGATGCAACATTAAAATAGTTGGCGATCTTTTGAACGTGAATGCGAACGTTCAACTAAACGTGAACTTGTAATCTATAACAATGGTGTCCATAATACTAAAAATGAGCGTAAAGTTAGGGGAAGAACTTTGTATTGCTCCACATAAACCGTTCTCTCTATTTGTGTACGTGCTTCTTTATATAGTCAAGTGGCCCAGAAATAACTGATTACTTTTGAAAGTTAAACTTTTTTAGCCGTTAAGCACTGTTTCAAAGGCTCATTTTACAATCAAAAGATGCAGAATTTAATTCTCCACAAAAGTGGATATTTTATTACAAAATTAGTTGAATTTCCTCGGCATAATGTTTGAAGTGTTAGAGAAAGTCATTTTTAAAGACATTTTCGCCCATAAATCTATTCAAGCGCTATGTCATGCAAGAAAAGCGTTATGAATTAAAACAAACGACACCGTTAAACTGTCCAGAAATTCTGCATCTCTTCATCATAAACCAAAACCTGTTGAACTATGGAAGGAGCATATAAAACTGATTACTAAGGGTCTGTCATCTACGAATTTGCAATGGTTTTATATTATGTAAATGGTCCTCTACCATTACATACGTCGAAATGCACAGAAAAGCCCAAGAAATGTTCCAAGATCTTGCTTTATTGGCTTCAAGAACTTCCACTAGAGCATATAAAATTGCTCATTATTTCATAATTGTATTGGTGGCTAGCAAAGCGTTGTTCAATGTCTAACGAATCTCATGTTTAATCCGGCAACAATTTTATTTTGTATGACAATCAACAGAACAACGAACATGAGCCATTTACGAAGTTGTCGGGTACGGGTTCTATTTTTTTTAATTTAACCGAAAACCGGAAGGTTTTAGTAGAAATCCACAAAATTTTGGTGAAAAAATATAGGGGTTTAGCTATATTATTAAACTTATTTCATATAGTAAAATGACTAGACAAACTGTTAGATGTTGCTTTTACAAATGTAACTTCCACATTAATTTTTGTCGTAGTTGGAGGACACACGGCGTATCATATGAATGAATGGCATAGCCGTTGTATTGTTCATTTTCTGCATATAAAAAGCGAATAATTTCTTTAGTGCACACACTTTTGAATTTATGTCCGTTGAGATTTCAACGCGTAATCTCGAGCTAAGAAAAGCTGGAATGATTATTCATAAGCAGAATCGATACAGCTTCGACTACATAAAAAACGGATGAGAAAATACAATTGAAAAGCACTTTCGTTGTACAGAAAATTCTGTTATATTGTTGGAAATCGAAGCTCTTCCCACAAAATATCCGGCGAGATTTTTTATTTTGCTTTTTCAATGTCCCAATAAATAATACTCCGATCGAGATCAAACTTTGAACATTTTTAGACCTCGTGAAATTTGTTATATGGTAAAAAAATGAACCTTAAATATCACATCATCGAGGAAAAATTTTGAAAAATACGCGAAAATGTCGTGAGATTTTTGAGAAAGAAATATTCTATGAAATATTTCTAAATGCTTATTGTCGACAATCGACACAAAATTCAACTTATTATGCACCATTCGATTTGTCTGAGTTATTCAGTCGCAAAGCTCAAAAGTATTGGTTTCGCAACTGTACGTTATGACTATCAAAACTGATCTTTCGGTTGCAGATTAATCTTTTCGGCAGTTTTAATCAAAAAATCTAGAGGATACAGTTGTAAGAGTAACATTGGCAGATTCGGATCTGTCGGTTGATGTAACGATAATAAAAGATTAAGCACTCTCTGATTCGTTTTCTAAAACTAGATGATTTCATTTCTGCAACAACCATAGTAGTATAGCGCTACGAATATTTAAGAATTTTTTGAGTTTGTGACTTCTCAATCGTTAAAACTATATCTCCCGTAAGATAACAGATCCCATCTCTTTATGTTATTGTTAGGGGTGGATCGATTACTAGTTGTTGAAGTTCTTTTAATGTTGAAATAAACGGTCGTAATAACGATATATTTATTGATCACACTACGCTGGTTTTCAGGAATCTACTAAAAAATCTGACTGTAACGAAATCTGACCTGTCTTTTTATTGGTTAATCACTGCCACTCTCTTCCAACTATAATTCAGTTCTCTCCTGTTGTTCAATGTTCAATCATTCACTCTCCCTTTGTACATCTTCAATATCTCTCGCTGTTCTTATTTCTATCACTCTTTTTTTATCTTCCGCACCATAATACTCACTGTACAGCACTTACATTTTAGTCTATTGTATAATAAACTCAGTAAAGAACAGAATTTCTGTTAGTCGTAGACGAATTCTATTACTATTACGACTATATCTGTTTGTTTATTTATTCCTCACATTATGATATTTTCTAATTATTCCACAGATATATAAATAAAACAATAATGTATCTCATTTCCAATTTTCTATGTTCTACAGTCAGTTTATCGTTAACCAGGCCACTTTATATATCATTCGATAGAGAATTGCAGGGGCTACAAGATGATATATAGGATATACAGAACAAACGGGACCTGCTGCCTTAACACTAGAAATACTGATCCCAATCTCCACAAACCAATAGGTCAACAGCGTTCCTCCTTTACATTGTCCAGCCAGTTTACCGTTAACCACGCCAGTCATTCGATAGAGAATTTTACGGGCTACAAAATGATATATATAATATTGAGAAAAAATGGGGTCTGAATGTCCTTACACTAGAAATACTACTGGAGAGGGATGTTTTCGGTCGGCATCGATGGATAGACTAAGTCCATATAAAACCGTTTACTATCTACATCGGCCGTTCACCTCAGTAACGAGACTTACCTTATATTCTAGAGCTCAGCAAGCTGAACGGAATGGTGAAAACCGCAAGTTTCCAGCCTTGTTAGAAAAGAAGCTATAGCCGTTTTACCGTTGCAGCAGAAAAATGCATTTTCCGGCGGATTTGGCCTAACTTGTACAACGTCTATTGACTACATTCCCAAACATGGGACCTTGAAGTTGATGTCAAGTGAAAGAGCGCATCGAGTTCTATATACTTCCACGGAGAAAAATTATGCTACATGTCGCAGCCTTGAGACAGATTTTTGAAAAACCCGGTTTTTTAGAAAACCTAGGAACTTAAAGTTTCTTTCAGATGCCTTTCAACCATATCAGTGGATAGACCCTTCAATTCTCCATAACATAAGATGCCGGCTTGGTTTCTGCGATCCTGGTCAACCGAGTCACAGACTTTTTAACATTATGAATATAAATTCAGTTGCGTTAATGCCGTTTTGGAACCTTATCTAATGATATGGTTGACTTGTGGATATGAGCTTGATCTGAGAGGAGGCCGATTTTGCCTCTTATCGACCCCCGTCCTTTGTTCTAATTGACATTTCCACATCAAAGCCATATATCCGGCTTATTTCTTATCGAATTATATAGATGCCATGCGGTATTCGGACTAAAAAGCCGGCAACATATTTGACTCTAATCATTTTTTTTTCCATATATTTTCTTATCGTCTGTTCTCTGCATTTATAAAAACAAACACCTCAACACGTTTCATCTATTTAATTTCCTTCACATTTCGTCTATTAATATTACACTATTTATTTAACCACAATATTTTTCAACCTTGGACATTCAACCAGTTATTCGATTATCATTATTATGCCGCGTCTTCCAACTTTCTTTTTTTCCTTTTTTAATATTTTTCGTTGTTTTTTGTTTTATCTTCATGCAGGAGCACTCATTTTCGCAGTGGGGGAAGATGTAACGAAATATGATCCGTCTTTTTATTGGCTAATCACTGTCACTCTCTTCCAACTATAATTTAGCTCTCTCCTGTTGTATATATGTTCAATCATTAACTCTCTCTTTGTTCGGGATCTCAGGTCGTCTGATTTTAGCAGAAAAATTCTGATTTTGGGACTTTTCTGCCTTGTGTTTGATTTTCTGATTTTAGAATCTTTGTTTCATATTGAGCGAAAATTTGATTTAGAATTTTTTTTTCATAAAAAGAAAAAGGGTATGAAAAGAAACAACGTTCCGATTTTTTTCTGATTTCCGTCTTTTAGATGTGGGATCCCTGCTCT